GTGTGTGTGTGTGTGTGTGTGTGTGTGTGTGTGTGTGTGAGATTCTGACTTTTCTGCAAAAAGCACTGTGGGTCAAAGGTCATGAACATTGGTGGCCATCACAGGATTAGTTGAGATATTGTATTACTTTAATGCTTCAAATAGTATTTATTATTATTTTGATATCTGTCTTTACAGACCTGGTTGTTTCTATTTTTAATTGTGAAACATTATTATTATTATTATTATGATTAGATATTCCTGATGTTGCTAAGAATGCACATTGGTGGTATGATCTAAAATCTTCAGCCTACTCTAGTTTTCTGTAATATCATCTGGAATAATATCGGGAAGGACCACGACTAGGATTTCCAACAAACGTCTTTTGAACAGTATTAATTCACGGTGGAGACCTGATGCAATAACAGAAAGCTGTTGTTGTTTAATCCTCTTTAACAGTGAATGAAGACATTTCATTGCTCTCCCCTCTTTGTTTAGTCATCTTTGTTGTTGAGTTAGTAGTAGTAGTAACACCCATGGGTTTCGAAAGTGCCTGTAACACCACCTTAACATGACTCTGTTTCTCCACCAGACTTTTGTCGCATTGATGTGCCGCTATGCAAGGATGAGAATGGATTCCTCAGCTACGAGGCCATCCGTAGCATCCACAAGCAGATGGATGACGACGCGAACGGCAATGTAGACGTGGCGGAGACAGATGGCGTAAGTACCAGCCTTAAAAAAACAGTTCTCCCCAGGAGCTGCTGCTCTGTTGATATGCTGGTTTGCACAGATACGGAGGTGGTCTTCAGTCAGTCTAAAGAGGCTTACAGGTTTCACTATCGTAATCTGACTCGTCGCAGGATTTGCTGCTAAGACGCTCGGTTAACCACAGCCCTGTAATGTCCTTAACTTACTCAAAGTAACTGGAGGATTTGTCCTGTTTGTGCTCCAGTGCCCTTTTTTTGCTGAAGTTTTGTCAATAATTAACTGAAGTCACAGTAACTGTGGTTGTAACTGGCATGCATGTTGTAGACCTTGATGTTTCCACATCTGTACAAACACAACGAACAAAGGAGGAGTATTTGCGTTCCTTTAATCAGACTCTGTGGTTTGTAACTCTGAAATGCATGACAAATAAATAGCTGCCAGAAATCCAACCTGTCGCTTGTCAGACGTCACTGATGCCTTTTTAAAAGACGCTGCCTGTCCTCCATTTAGTACGGTTACGTCCCGAGCTCTAGTCTAAACTACATGTGGCCTTGAGGAGGGGCCCTCTGGAGCCTCATTTCACTTTGGTTCAGTCTGTTGCATCTGGTTGAGGCCAGACCAAAAGTGCTCTCTGCTTTAAGAAGAGGCCCTTGGCATGCAAATACAACAAAGGCAGAAAATCAAGTGCAGCACAGTGAGCATCTGGGATGGCTTTGAGCCGAGAAATAGAAACGCTCAATGCGATTAGGAGCACTTCAAGACGGTAGTCCGACTTCCTGTTATCATACAGTGATTAAATAAAGAGGATGGCTGATTTTTTTATTTTTTATTTTTTTATTTTTTTTTTTTTTTTTTTTTTTTTTTTTTAATATGAACAAGAGCAAAGTCTGCATCAGGTCTTGGCCACATTATACAGGTCCTGCTGATCCTCCAATGAATATCTTCTCAGGATATTTCACCTGCAGCACAGACCGTTTCTCTACCCCGTAGTGAAGTCCTCCCACACAACTCTATCAAGACAGAAAGAAAGGCATCATGACGTATCGCTGTCTTGCACCCATGTTGCATGCGTTGGCTTTTGTGGGAGTGCAAGATCCTATGTATGTAACTGAGTTAGGCTGCAATATAGAGAGCAACCAGGAGTGTGCTTTGACCAATAGAGACCACTACCACTGCAATGAGGGCGGAAATGGAATTCAGAGTGCCGTAAGTTTTGGTTGTGGTGTTGGTTTTTTATATACACATAGTAGCTAGGTACATGTTTGAGTAAAAGTTCAACATTTTGGGAAAGGCTTTTGTTAGCAGCTACCTGGAGTCTACCTCCATAATTAAGATACGATTTTAGGGAAAACCGACTCCGTGTTTTTAATCGCCAAGTTGCGGAAAAACTCTAAGCGAGAAAGTAAATGAGTATTTCCCAAAATGTCGCACTATTACACAATCGTGAAAGCCAATTCCAATGACTATAGCGCCAGAATTGGCCATCATCCTCAGTTATTTTAGCCATTTAAATTGACGCCCACCAGTTAAAATTGTAAAGCTTGATTTTATATAGTTGCCTCTCAGAAAATTTGTGATAAACACTTACCTACGTAACCCACAAGTGGCGTTTCTAAACATTGCAACGGGCAGTTTCTGTGTGCAGTTAAGTACATGGGCAGTAACTCCTGAATTAGGTAAGAGGAAACCCAGAACAATTGACTGAATGGTACATTCAAAATCTTCATTGCAGCGTTGGTCAAAATAAGAAACATTCTGTATGCTGAGATTGTGTCAGTAATGGAGCTAAACAGGTGGAGCTGTTAGGTGTTATAACTCTGGGTGTAACCGATCACAGAACTCACGGTTCAGATGGTATCACTGTTTTTAAATCAACTACCCTTTTCCCCAGTTAAAGCTTGTGCAAATTGGATTCTCTGTAACCACAACAAACCTCCTTGTCATTCTGCAGTTCCTGAGAGAAGATCTAAACTACCACGACCCCAAGGCCAAGCACAACACCTTCCACGGGGACGACCAGTTCATCAGTGTGGTGGACCTGTGGAACGCATGGAAGGGCTCTGAAGGTACTGCTTTGAGGCATTTGACTTTTCATAAAAGACTTTGGTTCTTGGTCTATACAGCAGTGTTTTAAATAGCCAGTAAACTGGAGTGCATGTATTGTATGTTACCCCGGCTTGACATTCTCACTCGCCCAACAAAGGAGCAAGGCAGTTGAATCAGATGGCGTGTCAAGCAAAGTGCAGTCTGCTTATCAGCTCCAGCCAGCGGCAGAGTGGGACATCATTGACTCTGTCAGCACAAAATTCACACACCCTCACCTCCTTCTGCCTATCTGCTCCGCTGGGCTATCGTGTGCTCTATGAGAGCACCCATGTCGTTTTACACCCTTTCTGGCGGCCTTCCCCCCCCCCCCCCCCCCCCTTTTTTTTTTTTTTTTTTTACTTATCCTGCATTGCAGTTTCTCGACAAGGCTCTGGAGGTTTGGAGGCAGGAAACTGGGGTTTTTGTTCCAGAGAACAACACATTTACACAGTCAGCCCACACTGTTGATGCTCTGCCAGGAGCTGGGGAGTGTGTTTCCCTTCCCCAGTTATTACTGCGGGGCAAGACAATGTATGCTGTGCAATAGGATACCTCATAGATCATTCAGGATCCCGCTTCACATGGTCATATAATATGGCTCATGTGTCAAGCTGTATAAACGGTGCAGGTAAGAAGTGTTACGATGGTGACACATAGTTGTTTCGGCACTGCAGCCATCTTTAATTCTTGCTTCTTTTTTTTTCTTTCAGTCTGTTCTTGAGCAGATGAAACACATGATCTGTTGGACTAGGTTCAACTTACCGTCTTACTTACTTCTCGGCTCCAAGAAAAACCTCTTAATTGCCTTTTCCGATCGTCGTTCTAAAATTAGGGGCTACAGGTCTACAAGTACATTGTTCGCTCAATATAGACGTGAACGCCCTCAAACATCATAAAAGTTCAAAGTCGGCTGTCAATCAGGTGACATATCGTAGCCTTATCAGTACTGAACCCTGCAGGTTTTGGATGAGTGAGAATCAATGAGCACTGTAACTGTTTTTATTTTATTCCCCCCCCCCCCACAGTGTATAACTGGACAGTGGATGAGGTGGTGGAATGGCTCATCACCTATGTGGAACTGCCACAATATGTGGAGGCCTTTCGCAAGATGCATTTCAATGGAAGTGTCATGCCAAGGTAAGAGACATCGTGACCCGTCTAATGTCTCCAAATGAACAGTGCGACACATACAAGTAGTGGTTTACCTAAGACTGTTTAAGACTCTTTAGTGCCAGCTATTAAAACCCATTTCCATTGCTTTCTTTACAAGTCATTACATTCCCTATTCTGATCCGTCAGCATGTATTGTAATTCCCCTTAACTAGTGTCTCGTATGACCATTAGTGTTTTAAGTCTGATTGGTTAGATTTAGATGATTTGTTAAGGGGTCACATGACACATGGCTCAAAATGTTTTACACCCTTTGCTCTTGATTCCTTGTTCCTGCGTACTGACCGCGTGTCTGTTTTCTGTCAGGCTCGCCGTGAAGAACACCACTCTGACTCTCTCCATTCTGAAGATTCTGGATCGCAGCCATGTGCAAAAGTTGCAGCTCAAGTCTTTGGACACCGTACTGTTTGGAGCGCCCCTGAGTACGTGACACTTTACTTTCATTTCCTGTTTGATTCATAAACTCATTCATACAACATGTAACGGGTTTGTTCTAGATAGTTTAAAACCCTGACTAGAGATGAAGAGGGGTTCGGTTTTATTATCTCTTCATGAAAGTTTCATTTCATTCCACTTTTATTTTCTGTTTGATAAGCAGGATATCTGAAAAAATTCAGTAAAACTTGGTGGAAAGACAAAAAAAACATATTGCCTTAACTGTAAAATATGTTAGAATTTTTTACTTAGTAAGTCGACACGTCATGTGACTCCCTCGCAGGACAAAAGAGAATTGATTTTACTGTGAAACATCTGGAGGAAATTCTTCGCTTGTATTAGCGGCCTATTACCGTTGCCAACATCCTCACCACTGTTGACAGCTGCTCATTTTTCATCAGCACTTCGTCCCTGTGATGTGGTCTGGTTTTGTTTTCACCATTTCTTTCTTTCCTCACTTATTCATCTACTCGCTGATCTACTCATTTGATCACCTTAATCGACCCGCTTTTGATATGCGAGGGTGAAGTCCTGTTACAACCTGTATGGAGGAAGGGAGGGTGGAATCGCTCTGTATTCCCGACACTCCTCTCTGCGTAGGGAGACAAATACTCACACTACTTATTCTCACTGCTCAACCTCCAGAACTACAGATTGTTGTCTTTCAGGTTTTCTTTCTTTTCATTTCTTTCCTCCCAAGAGGCTGGTAGCCTCACAAAGGATCGGGGTGTGTCTCAGCTGTCATACGTCTTGGCAGGCTGAGCTGACACTGTGATCAGATGTTACCAGAGTAACTGCAATTTTTATGTTTGACATTAAGAGCTTAGTTGCAGAGTCACAGCTGCATACTAATATTGTGCGCTGGACTAGGTGTTGTGAAAATATGAATCGATAGAGATGCACAAAATATGAATGATGTGTAGAGACTTTCCCAGCCTTGAGGTTTGATCCTTTTTCACTGGAGAACTACTAAGCTGCATTAAAAAGTAACGTTGCATAATTGTAGGAGGAGTGCTGATGGGGGCAGATGTATGTGATCACCAGAGAAACTGTGATGAGCCTTCATAGAAAGCAGTCATTAGCATTAGAAATGAATTGCACAGTGTGTAGTGGTCTGTGTCTGGCATGTGTCATTGTGGATGCATTTAGTTCCGAGTCACACCCGGAGGAAGACATTAGCGAGTCTGGCTTTGACAGCCTCTTAAAGCCACGGGGTCCCACTAATAGTCAGTCTGACTCACTACACAGAGCAGCAGCATTTTGAGACATATCTCATAATGGGGTAATCCTAATATAGTGGACAGGTGTGTAAAAACAATCGACTCAAGCACATTTCCCGTTTTTGTGGTTAATTAAATGTCACTTTATGCTCCCTGGGTGGGATTTCTGAAAGGCAGTGAATGCAGTGTGATGACAGAAAGCAAACTGTTTCCTGTTTTGGACCGATAGTGTTGTAAGAGCGTTGAATAGAGCCGAGAGAACGGTCTAGCGCTATCTTAGAGACAATGCTCTTAATCTGTTTCCTTTAATCCTCTGTGCTCAGTCACAATGCAGACCCAAGACTAACAAAGCACACATGCAGTTTCATATCGTGAGCTCATTTTGGGGAGGTAATGATCTCCATATGCCGCCCTTAGAAGAGAAAAGAGCCGTATGCAACAGCTGTCCTGTAGATTGTCTGTCTCTCTCTCCTCTGGTTTGTTACTTTTGACACAACAGTGGTACAGGAACATCTTTGTAAATATGTTTTAAGGTGGAATATCCTCCTGATCACATCTAAAGAGAAACGAGCCTGTACTGACCCGTCTTCCTAATTCTACTTCCTTTTTGTCTCACTCCAGGGAGTAGAAGTCGTGTTTTTGACACCTCTTTCCCGCACACCCCTTTGCAGGTTTTGCAAGACAAACTCGTGTGGCTCGCAAGGCTGATAATTACGGCTGTGTGTCAACTGCTGCATGACGTCATCAAATGACAAATAGATGCCCAAACTTTACTATGAGTTTTAATTTGACGACTGTGAAAGTTCTCCCCGCCTGAAAGCTGATCTGAAACTAATGTAAGGCTTCTTACAGGTGGGATAGCTGAGAATCTCTTACAGTGACATCATGGCATAATACTCACACTTGGTTATTATTAGGCTTTGATTCATAGCTCCTTGTGTTTATCAAATTGTTGTAGTTGCCATTGTTTGGTTTTCTGTGCATGTTTGCTAGCATTGGTTACCAGACTGAAATAGGCCGTGTTAAGCTGGCTTTATGCACCAGGCCCCTCTCACCGCAACCTGAACTTGTGCTACTGGCTCTCTCTATTTGTGTTACTCCACAACACTTACGACTAGGCTATGTTTCAAGCTCAAGCTTTAAACCACATCCTCGTGAAGCTCGCTCATTGTTCGCAGCTTTATCTCGTGTTCTAGATCTAAACTGCCTCGTTGAACAGATCCTATTCTGCAGCTTTATCCTATGATTTGGATGTTCATTGGCACGCTGAAGTAACTCCTTCTTTATTTTTCAGTGAATCGACACAACCACTTGAAGGACTTCATGCTGGTCGTGTCAATAGTCATAGGCATGGGTGGCTGCTGGTTCGCCTACATCCAGAACCGCTACTCTAAGGACCACATGAAGAAGATGATGACGGACCTGGAGGGCCTGCAGAGAGCCGAGCAGAGTCTGCATGACCTACAACAGAAGTGAGGGTTTTTTCCCACCACCCACACAGCAAACAGTGTTACACTCTGCGAGTACTGCGTTGTGCACACCTAAAACACAGCGGCACAGCTTTCTGTTCGTCTTCATTTTAGAACTTTTAAACATGCAACAAATACAATGACACTCACCATCTTCTTGTCTACAGTATAGGTCTCAAACTCTACCATAAACTGACTACAAGAGAATTTTACCTCGAGAGCATTTTGATAAATAATGATTATCAGGCTTAAAACTAACATCAGGAAGTGTTGCACCGGCAATGCTGCTTGCATGTCTTGCATGTGCAGCGAGTTCTTCCTCACACACTCATAGCTCATTGAGACACTGCGGCATTCTGCTGTCAACTTAATATTGAACTAATGAATCAGAATTAATATTAACAGACTCTGAACAGCATTTTGTTCTTTGTTACGAGTTTGACAACAGCCTCTCTCATTATAAAGCCTTTGGTGAGTCCCTGATGGTGTTATTTAAGTTATTTTCTTTTGTTGTTGGCTTAAGCAGGAATCGATTGAAACGAGGCAGCGTGCAGGGAATCCTGCCAGTCCCGATGATTTTACAATGCAAATTCTAATTTGCATAGAGTGGTTCTCAATCCTATCTATGCTCTATATATCTGTCATAAGTCATTACTTGCACAGCATTGCATGTACACATTGCCACATTGTTCTAAAAAGGGAAGTTAAAAAAGACTGGAAGAGCCGCACGATGCTTCATTAGACTGTAGATGGATCGACTTCAACGAGTCTCGTTTAAATTACATTTCACCATTTAGATCAGATGAAAAACTTGTATGACAAGATGTATATAATATCCATATGTGCATGTTTCAAGGAAGCGTAAGTGCAGTCTGAGTTGAGGTGCGCTGTTTGAACAGCTGGAACGGTATTTAAGCTAGTTTGACAACTCTGTACAAGTCGACCAATCAGGAGGTCGCCATCGGCTGCAACACAGCGTTGCATTCGCAAGCTAACTCCCAGGTGCTGATGTTTTCATTTCTACACAGACTTGTGAAAGGGCAGAAAATACACCGAAAAGTACAAATGAGTTTTGGGTTGTTTGCTAATCTACTACAGCTTTCCAAAGCTGTTCGTTGTCATTTGGTCATTGTCATGATGATATGGATATGGCGGGTATTTTTTCGTTAATTAGACCAATTTTACTTAACAATAGCAGACGAGCACTGGTATATTGGGAAACACTTGAGTGTTTTTGGTAGCACTGGCTGGAGTAGTGCAGGCTTTGTATCAGACTGTGGTGGTGAAGAGATACTGTAGTTCTCTGTTTCTTCAGTTTTCTCTTCAGCCCTCACTGGTGATCAAAAGCAGACATTTCCTTTCCTTGATCCTTCACAGTGAGAGGAGCCAGCTGAGGTGGCTGTTACCTGCTACCCTCTTCCCTTGGGGGGAAATACATCAACACTGATCTTTGGAATACTTTGTCTTTGATAGATTTCCCCCCCCCCCCCAAAAAAACGGGGAACCTCAGTGAACCTGTCAGTTTAGCCATTATTAGGCCTACGTCTGCAGTATTACAGGATACTGCATGCTGACACCTGGGGCACTCAGGCCATTGCTGCCTTAATGATTAAATGTTAAGGAATGGGATGTTTTTAGAAGAGAGCAACACCCACATAGAGCCAAATTCAGAGAAAGAGTTCAAGGTTTTAAGACAAATCGTACTATTTTGGTCCTGTTAATACTTCAAGGAATGCTCAGAATGTGCTTTTAAGCGTGCACGGTCTCCTCTTATATCCTTTAAAGGATACTCAAACACATTCTCATCCGCAGGTCAGGGTTGTTGTCACTGAACAGGGATCTGTAGGCATCGAAACCTTCAGTCTGTTATACTACCCTCATTACCCACATGAGTCACTCTTTGTGTCAGCTGGCTGTTTAGTAGACACACGGAAACACGCTATGCTCTGATGAATACAGTGATTAGAATGTAAAGACACGACTAAGATTTCACTGACTGAACCTGAACATTGGTGTTTGTGTCGGCGTTGGATTCTTCTTCTTCTGCACATCCTGTTTCACTGTAGTACCTCAATCATAGCTGCTATGTTTGCATATTTTCATATAGTATACACGAGGAGCATTTCCTTGTTGGAGCTGTACAATACGGGAGTGGAAAGTATTTCCAGTGGGATTTGCCTACTTGATACCAGTGAGGACAAACCATTGAGGTCCCTCTGTGGCTTTACACTTGTGAACCTGCCCCGGCCAACTTTTAATTTAGCTCTGACATTTCTTTCTTGCTCAGATAATTGCACATACCTAACTCTCCTCTGCAGATTAAACCAGAGAGCTTTTGTGCAGACTTTATTCAGCGTGTACCAAAAGTCACCGAAGCTGATTGTAGTCAGTGCAGACATTGCTTTATATTTCATATCCCAAAGTTATGGCTACTCATTGAGACTTACAATATGATTAATCTGCTGTAGTTCAGTAGGGTGTTGCCCAACCACATTAAAAGCGAATCAGTGGTGAATGAGAGCTCAGAGAAAGGGCAAGAAAACCAATTGTCTTGCACCTGTTTCTCATAAAGCAGAAAATGTCTGATAATGCATAATGATTTTAAAACTCCCATTCATTATACTGGGGGGTTTGCAGTAGCTTGTGTATTAACCTTGTGTACTCCTAATAAAAAGAAAATGTTAAGCAGTCAGGCTAACCTATTTATCTACTGACAAAAGCAGGCGACTAAGTTTGTCTGACTTTTCAGAGTTGGTGTTAAGCATTAAAGTGTTCTAAATGGATATCAAATGATCGTGTAGGTCAGTGTGACGAGCAAGAAGAGACCTTTATCTCATGGAGCACGTGTTTGTGGAGCTGAGAGAGAGAGAGAGAGGTATGTCCTCTGTCTGTAGCCGTGCTTTTCTTCCTGATCCCTGCTGCCAGCTGCTGTCTTTCCACACCTTCAAGCAGATCCTGTGGTGGTGTCGAGTAGCCCTGCCCAGCCTGTTGGGAGACAGTGGGAGGAGGCTTTGGCTGGAGCTGGATTTCCTGGGTGCCTTTTTACAATGCCATTAGACCCGGCCTCTGCCTCACTGGTGGGAGATGGTGTTAAGCGGGACTGCTTAACATTTCCTCTCTAGTGCCGATTCATCCGCATTTGGATTGAGGTGCGGTGTGCAGACAGACATCCCGGAGAAGGACTAGCGGACAAGGACAACAGCACTGCATAGGATAGCTACTTTTCTTTCCACACAATATGTTATCAGCTTAGGAGAAGTAGGATGAATACAAACATAGTAATATCAGTGCATTGAAAAGTTGCGGGTTATCTTTTACCTTCTCCTGCAAAGTGTGCAGAGACATTCTTCGTCCTGTCTTGTGATGCAGCTCCGGTGAAACATTTGTACACGTCTGTAGTTCTGCCAGTGCTCCCGAACCTTAGCTAGAGAATGACAGAGGTCAGGGTCGAAAGCATTAGCCCGACTGCCGACCACCCACATTTTTCCATAGCTAGCTCTCTGGATCACCTTTCATTTCTCTGCTGTTGTGTTTGGCCTGACAGGAGGAGAGTGCTTCCCCCTAGTGCCTGAAATGTAGTACTGCACCCTGCCCTTTCATATCTGGAGACCGAAAGCAGCATTCTTTTTAATGCCTCTGTGCAGGTGACGGCTTGTTTTTGACTTGTCATTTCTCAGGAACGTTTGGAGGGAATGCCTTCAGTGAACAAACATTCACCTGGAATCAAGGATAAACTGATCAGACTTTGGAAGTCAAAGGTCATGTGACCTCATTACTGTCTAATTTTCGCGATATCTCAGAAACGCCTTGAGGGACTGTCTTAAATTTGGCACAAATGTCCACCTGGACTCGAGGGTTAACTGGCTATAATTTGGTGGTCAAAGGTCACTGTCAACTTGTTTTTGGCAGTAACTTAAGAATTGAAATGCTAGTTATGATGAAGCGATGACATTTTGGAGAGGCATGGATGTAAACTGCAACATGACAGGTTGGCAGAGGCGGTAATTCTAGTTTTGTTGTAGATCTGTTGTGTCATAAGTGGCAGTATTGCATATAATAATGTCTTAATAACTGCTTAGCCAGATGAGGGATTTTGTTTTTTTTGTTGTTTTTTTTTTTTTTTTTTTTAGAAAGTCTTCTAATAAAAAGAGGGGCGTGTCACCCACATGACATCATTTTATATAATTGCATCATGGGTGATAAGCCCCTCGTTTTTAAAAGTAGACCTTTTTTTTTTTTTTTTTTTAAAGATGCTAGTCTAAAGATATCTCACTTACAGACCCAACACATGATACTGTAGCAGCATTGGGTACCACACTGTACAGTGTAAAGTTACGCAGTGGCAGCTGTTCTCATTCTTCGCTCTGCTCCCTCTGATGTCCGTTTATTGTGAGCTGCCTAGCAGCTGGCCGTGGCTCTCTCTATATGTTAGCCATTGTTTCCGGTGATTCATAGGTGATGCAAGTCTTAGATTCCACAAATACATGGTGCTCACATGCTTCCACGTCATGCCTGCCCACAGACACCGGCACCTACGAAGCTATGTTTCTTTGTTGGGCGGCGAAAAGATGTCTTCCTTCTAAAATGAACATAAATGTAAGACATCTGATTCTCTGTGTTTCCTCTCCTTGTCCCTCAGGCTGCAGATCGCCCAGGAGGAGCACCGCACGGTAGAAGTGGAGAAGGTGACCCTGGAGCAGAAGCTGAGGGACGAGATCAACGCGGCGAAGCAGGAGGCCCAGCGGCTGAGGGAGCTGCGCGAGGGCACCGTGAACGAACTGAGTCGCCAAAAATACGCTGAAGAAGAGCTCGATCAGGTAGATGCAAAGTGATGAATGTGATTTCAACATGGAGTTTGTAGTGAAGCACACAGAGGAGAAGCACTGAAAGTGAGTGGATCGTGTGAACTCCCAAGGTGGCAACTGCGCAGTATGTTTAGTGTGATCAGATTCACAGTGGCTATAGTATACGTACGCCCACTGTAGTTTTTGTCCATTAGGAATTTGGCAGGAACGGCCGAGCACCTCCCACACAAGTAAGTGAAGCAATATGAAGGTTTGCTCGAGGGATTATCGCAGTGATCTGACTCAGACACTTTTGTCACCGTTTTGTTTTTGTCATTCAGAAACACGGTGATAAATTGGAAAGATTCAGGGCTTTCGGATTCAGTGTAGTTTCAAGATGCTTAGAGGCAAGTGTTGAGATCCATCAGTCCATAAATATAAACACCGTTTCAATTATCTTTGACTTTTGGTGAATGTAGGATTGAGATGTCTTTTGTTCGTGTACGTCATGAAACTTAGTGACAACTTACTGCAAACGAGAAAGTTGTGTGTTCGTTAAGTATGAAATTAGTAAGAGATTTGTTTTTTTAAGTAGCACATTCTTTATGTAACCAATCTTACATTTTGGTTAGAAAATTTCACACCAAAAATGTGTAATTCTCCTATTAAAAAAAATCGGAAAGTCCCCAAAATACAATAATCACTGTCAAGAATGCGTTGCTAGATGATCTGAAATTCATGAGTGCGTTGGTTTTATAAATTTGTCACCTGATGGTTGACGTTTGTTGCAGGTGCGCATGGCGTTGAGGAAGGCAGAGAAGGAGTTGGAGTCTCGGAGCAGCTGGTCACCGCCAGAGTCTCTCCAGAAGTGGCTGCAGCTCACCCACGAGGTGGAAGTGCTCTACTACAACATCAAGAAGCAAAACGCTGAGCGGCAGCTCCTGGTGGCCAAAGAAGGGGTAAGCATGTACACACCTAAAGGGGAACGTAAATGACTATCTATGGATTATATTACAAAGCGGCTAATTTACAAAGTACTAAGTATTTGAGATACTCATTGGACTGTTGGATCAAGGTTCCCATTTAACATAATGTGTGGTTAATTTTTTGGTCATTGTTTTCACAGGCAGAGAAGATAAAGAAAAAGAGGAACACTCTGTTTGGGACTTTCCACGTGGCTCACAGCTCCTCTCTGGATGATGTGGACCACAAAATACTGGCAGCAAAGTAAGTCAGAGATCGTAACTGTGGAGTACGTTGAATAGAATTTTAGAAAACATGTGACTCGAGCTTCATTTGTACAGGATTAACATTACAGGGGAAGGGAGGGTAATAAAGTATTCACCGCACACTGTAATACGACTCCTCGTCCTGGACAGCATTTTAACAATCCCAAAATACCCGGATGTGGTCTGTAATAGACACGGACATTCTGCAAGACTAGTCAAAGAGAGCCCTAACACCAGTAGCTGACATCACAATAGCACAGCTTTTGATAAAATGTCTCTTTTTGAAGTGATAATAAGTGACTTCTCCTCTTGACTTACTTCTCCTCTCCTACTTCCCCCTCATCCGCCCACAGACAGGCCCTGGGCGAAGTGACGGCTGCTCTGCGGGAGCGGCTTCATCGTTGGCAGCAGATCGAGATCCTCACCGGTTTCATCATCGTCAACAACCCGGGCCTTCCTTCTCTGGCCTCGTCCCTCAACCTGGACCCCAGCTTCTCGGGCGGCAGGGCCACACCTCAGCACTTCATCATGTCCGACGACATGGACGACTTGGACGAGGATATGGTGCCCGGAACTCTGCAATGTAAGAGTTCGTCCGAATCTCTTGCCAGTTCTGGGGGATTTAGCAAACGATCCACTAAACACTCCAAGGCTCTGCTGGGGAAATACAAAAGTCAGCCCTCGTGAGAATTTGGACCTTTTTTTTTTTTTTTTTTGTTATGCTACAATTACCGGAATCTGTCCTTGTGGCCTCCCTGGTGATGGAGGTAGTGAGGGTTACGCATGTCTACGATTGAATGAGTGTTGTTTTACATCTGTATAATGTGTAAATGTAAGTTCACATAAATGTCTTGTTCTTTTACACACAATACCAGTTCATGCCTTTTGTTGGTGGTTCTCATTTTGGATAAAATTGTTACCTTGACTCTCGGTCTATAATGGGGACTGAACTGTGACTTTCCTCTGGAAACTGAAATGTCAAGAAAATACAGCTCTTAATGAGAACCCGTTTCTGTGCTGATCTTATTGCAGTGGTTGTGTCCTAATATGTGCTACAGACCTTTTGCATCTGATTTTGGTCAAACAGCTGCAACCAAATGAAGCCCAATTTAAATTCTTATGTAGCTTGAATATGAGAAAAAAATATATACACACAAAAATCTATTTATTTATTTTTTGTTATTTTCATTGCAGGAGTCTTGGATTAAAACATCTCACACATCTTAATCTCATCAAAGAAACCAACAAAGTTCCGATGACCATAACGCTCATGTGCTCTTTAATTTACTTATTATTATTACGGTAAAACTTGATACATGTTAGTTTCGGGTTTGACTAACTGCAGGCAAAACTGTTTCTGCAGAATCCTTATTCCGACCAAAATAGTGAGTAAGTCTTTTAAGCAACATTAATTGCGCTCCCTATCTACCTCCCCTCTCTCCCTCCACCACCTCTCTGGCATTTGGCTTCCGCCGCTGTCTCGTCGGGCTAACCACAGACGGCACCCGATTGTTGGAACGGCGAGCCGGCGACCCGTGGTCCGTCGGTTCAGACTGTCGGCACTTGTGGAAATACCCTGGTTGGCCATTTATTACCCCCCCCCCCCCCCCC